GAAGTCCTTTCAGATATAAAATTAATCAAAGTGACATCACATTTAAGCATGTCTAGTTTGATTAGTGGCATTAAGACACTGGTTTTTCATGGACTAAACATCAGATTAATCGAAGTGACATCACCACTTTAAGCGTGTCTATTAAATATATGAACAAATTAAGACGTGATTTTAATGTAATTTGTGGCTTATGATTACTGATACTTAAGTCAAAATCTACAATGAGGGATTCACTATGTTAAGAATTGGGATTCCATCTTAAAATGTCAACATTTTTAAGAGAAGTAACTCAATCCTTTATAAGTTGGTTTATATTTTACATCTTTATTCGATGTAGAATTCTATCCCTTAACATGTCCCCTCAAGATGGTGGCTCGTTTGAGCAGACAAATCTTGAAATTCGTATGCTTACTTTTGGAGTCTTAACTGGATTGAATTGCTCGTTAGAGCTTAATGTGCTCTGATATCATATTAAGAATTGGAGTTTCATCTTAAAAGGTCAACATTTTTAAGAGGAGTAACCAAATCCTTTATAAATTGGTATATCTTTACATTTTTATTCGATGTGAGATTCTATCCCTTAACACGCTAGAATCTTCATGAGCCAAATTAACCTTTATCGCCTCATGTCGAGACTTTGAGATCCTTTGCTCGCCCCCTTAGTCTAAAGGGTCATATCCCTACAAGGCTTTTGGACTTGAATCGGAATTTAACACAAGTGATGATAGGTTTTGAGAATATATCATTTTATGTAAAATTATCGAGTAAATGAAATTATTCTTCATTTTTTAGGTTCAATTTGATCCTTGTTTAACAAATTCCTTTAGTTGTTACTGCATTCCATTGAATATTTAGGCTTGCAAGTTATGAAGTTTTCCCAGTTGTTGAGATCAACTTGTCAACTTGAAAAGTTGAAGGAAGCTTTAAACTATGCTTTGTTTTATTCCTATGTAAGACTTATGGGAATGGTGATGGAACAATTTTCAATATAAAAACAAAAGATACTCAATGACATAAGAATAATTAGATTTATTTTATATGATTATTTAGTAAGTGAGTTAAGAGATCGTCTAACTCGTAGTCAATTACATTGTCAAATCCAAAATTGAAAAGACAAGCAGTTCTTTAAAAAATCGATAACATAACATGATTTACTTTCGCTTTTTTATATATTATGACGAATTACATTTTCTTATGAACTCACAAGTCAAATAAAACTTATTTTCCACCCTAAAACATGGTTTCCAACCATTAGTGTCCATCAATCACATAGTCAACAAAATGGTGCATGATTTCATCCATCACCACCCCAAATCTTCTTGTTGGAGAAATGAAGGGACGTTAACCCCTCCACCCCACTCCCACTACCCCCATTTTTTTTTTCTTTTTTTCTTTTTTTAAAAAAGTAAATAAAGAAAGAAAGATTAAACGAAAAACAAGTAATTTTTTTACTTTTCAAGAAAAGCATAGCTGATTTGTTTATAAATGATGCTTCTACATAGGAATTTTTTCACATAAAGACTAACAAAGCTAATGATGTTTAGGGTGTGTTTGTCTCCCATTATTGGGAGAAATATTGAGTAATGAATAGTATTTTTTGGAGAATGTATAGTTGAAAAGTAAAGTTACTTCGTTGGTTTGTATGTAGAATATTTTATTGGGTGAATGTGTGGTGGAGAATCTTACTGTAGCAAACAATTTTTTGGAATAATGGTAGACAAGTCACAGTGGGATTGAAACATGACACGAATCTTAGATATTATATTTGGTGGAAAGCTATCCTAAACATTATAATATATACTATAAAAGATATTCATTTGTGTGTGTCACCGTTTGTTATACTTCTCTTGCACATTCGATTAGCCGAAGCGAATGACTAAATAAATTAAAGAAGAAAAAAAAGAAACTAAAATTACGTTTATTATATTGTCTAGTCTGGTTAGTAAAGCGGGTATTAATATTTTGAAGAGGATGGAAATAAAACTTGTCGATTCTCCATAGACTATGAAGTAGGAACATTTGCTCGTATTCTCAAGCAAGTGGAAAGTAACGACTGT